TTAATCTTTCAATGCAGACACTTACGTATTATAATCATAATATTAAGAAAAAAAAAATAATAATAATAATAATAATAATAATAATTAATACTGAAAAAATTTTATTTGGAACAAATAAATATTTTTCATAAATTATCAAGTGTTTTGGGAGTGACTCACGCTTTACATTACGTACATGCCAAAGTATGAACTTTTTAATAGGCAAGATTATTTATTTTTAATGGATTTTTTTTTTTTTTTTCATGTATATTATTAAGAGAATAAGCGAATAGTTCTCACCAATAGTCAATTTATGATAAGTATTTAGGCTGCATTCAAATATATCTCTAGATACATAATTAAGAAATGACTTTGTATCTTGTGAACTAATTACATTTTTAAAAATATAAGCTCATTTCGATGTTACACTCATCAAGACCTTTCATTTGAGTACCCATATCAATTTTTCATATATTTATATGTATTAAATATATGTATATATGAAAAATATATTAAAATGCATACGGGTAATCAAATGAAAGCTCTTGATGTGTGTAACATCGAGATGAGCTTATATCTTTAAAAACGTCAATAGTTAAGAAAGTACAGTGCCTTTGTTAAATTGCACTGTACTTTTTTAACTATTGAAGTTTTTAATTAAAGATATAAGCTCATTCCGACATTATACTCATCGAGACCTTCCATTTGAGTACCCACATCAATTTTTCATATACTTTATATATTTATATATATTATATATATGTAAATATGAAAAATATATCAAAAATGCATGTGGGTACTCAAATGAAAGTTTTTGATGAGTGTAACATCCGGATGAGCTTATATCATTAAAATATATATTATATATATGTATATATGAAAAATATATCAAAAATGCATGTGGGTACTCAAATGAAAGCTCTTGATGAGTGTAACATCCGGATGAGCTTATATCTTTAAAAACGTCAATAGCCAAAAAAGTACAGTGCAATTTAACAAAGCAAAATTTTATTTATTTATAGTTCACAAGTCACGACAGTCACATAGTGACTGCAAGGTTGCTAGTTATTTTAAAAAAAAAAATATTTTAGGCAGTAGAATTTTTTTTGAGCAAAAATAGACTTCTAATCGCTATATAATGACAAAAATAAGTCTTAAAAATACGAAAACAATGAGTATTGCACCCAGTAAATTATTTTAAAAACAAGTTAACGGTTTCCGGAAGTCCTAATAGATTACTAATTATTAACAACCCGATCTTAGGTTTAAAGGACATTGAAATTTACCGAAATCGGATATCTGCGATGGTCATCGATGGAAACGACGGGCAGTAATCGGGAAGTATAAGTTTAAGTTTAATTAAGTATAAGTATATTAAGACTCTACCATTACTCAATACATAACTGGAGATAGAGGATGAAGAAGCTTGTAAGCGCAAAAATTTATTACGGAGAGCAGATGACACTGAGAAATTCGACACGAAGCATCTCAGGTCGTCACGAGTGACGTATGGTGTCCTCTCAAATAACCGAGCTATAGGAGAAAGCTGATCGTTATTATAAAAAATCAATACTAAATACTATACCGTCCTTTATTTTATACTTTGTTTTATTTAACCATAAAAAAAACACCGGGACACTTGTCGATTTAGTTACTCATCAAAGTCCACATTAATTATTTTGTAACGCAACCAGATAAAATATTATTATCGAATTTATTTAAAGACATGATTTTAAAATAATATTTTCGAAAGAAAAATAAAGAGAGATATATTTCAAAATTGAAAATTTATTGTAAATATCAAGCTCGTGGCTTTATTTATTCCAATTATTGTCAGTAAAATAAAATATTATATGCTAAATATTTCAAAATTTATTGCATGTATTAAAATATGCAATGTAATCAATGGTCGATTAGTGGGCAAGATAACTTTGGGCTCGTGTCCACGGTATAATTTATTTGCTCGTGAAAAATATGATTATCAGCGGCAGCATTGTTGCCTTTAATAACACAAAATGATGGAAGTAATACCCTGTTTTTAGATTGTAATTATGTGCAATTAAGTGCTGATATTAAATGTATTTTTGACTCTATACACTATTGTGGTTAACCATCGGCCCGTAAGCAAAAAAAAAGGGGTACTATTATGACTGTTGCAGATGCAGATGGTTCATTGAACAGAATCATCTGAAATAAGATTGGATCAATCGTTGAAAAGATGACTATCAGTTTTTAAAAACAGTATTCTAAATGTGTACTTTTATTGTTGCGATTAGATGTTCAGCTGGGTTTTCATAAATGTCCTGCACTGCTATATAATGTACAACATTTTATTTAACGAGCCTCCCTGCTGAGGATATTTTAAGCGAAAAAAACAATATGATAGTTGTATTGGATAACGTCACAAAGAATTCTCGCCGAGGATTATTGGGCTTCGGTCAACATTCATTCAAAATTACGGTTTAACGACTTGTCCCAATGGCGTCAGCAGTTTCTAAAGACGGAACATCTTTATGACTATTATGGACAGTTTTTGGAAACTTAATGCGAGGCTCTATTAGATTTCACTTAGTCCTTTTTTCTAACAGATGGGACGTGATATTTTTTGCCAAATTTTAACGGAAAACAATAAAGATAACTTAAAAAAAAAATAACTTGTGGGAGTTAATACGCTTAATTAAATTAAAAAAAATTTTGTTTTCAAATAGAGTCAACTAAATACTCATTATGATTATTTACACTGAGAAAAAAAAGTACTTTTACTCAATTAACAATTTCTTGGTTTAAAAAATTCGATGACGATCAAATATTCTATTATTATTAATTATTAATTTCTGAACAAGAGAATAGTTTTATTTAAATTAAGTAAAAATTATTTCATCCAATTTAAATAGTTCTTGAGCTAAGAATATATATTCTTTAAAATTTTCAAGAACATGAATTCTTGTATCAAGAAAATTTTCTTAATAAAAGTATTTATTTTTCTCAGTATAGCTAGATCTTTTGTATTTAAAAAATGCAAAAGTTATTTTTTATAAGTCATTAAGTAATTTCATTTGAGACCAAGTTTTAAAATTATTATAAGTTTTTAAATGAAGAAAAATCAAAAATTAACTCACATATCTGCAACAATTGTTGATCTCTATAACAATTCTTCATTTTTGAACCTAAAACATAAAAATTAGACATTTATTAATTTTTTTTATTTGATTTATTGAATTCAATAAAAATTTCTAGAATGTTCAGGCTGTCAATATTTTTTTTAATATATTGATTACTTATATATAAAAATTTTTATTCAAAAGCATGGGCTTAAAAAAATGAAGTTTGAATCCCATTACAAGATACATAAGTTATTATTTAAAATGAATAAAATGAAAAAGGGAGTTGCCAGCTGGGTGTGGAGAAATTAATGTAATCTCTACGAAATTTGATTGTAATCGTTTAAGTGTATGAAAAGAAGAACCGGGATGCAAGATATATCTCATTACTTATGCGTTATTACAATACATACAGCTAAATAAAATTAATCTACAGCTTGAAAGAAAGGTAATAGAGTAATTGACAATTTTATAAATAGTTACTGATAATATTAACCAAATACTTATATTAAACATTGAATTATGATATTTACAATTCTTGGTGAAATGAAATTACGTCAAGGCTACGAAAATATAAGAAATGTCAAATGATATATCAACACGAGTTGAAAGAACCGACTCGTAATTCAAGTAATGTCTGCAATTGTTAGTCTTATTTCAAGGATAAATTTTAAAATTACATCAGGTGTGCTAAACATATTTAAATATTTTTTAAATTTCGTAAAATATATAAGTTATCGTTTATTATAAGAATTTAATATATTCTAAATATAAAAAATGTGTTCCTTCTTGTGAAAATAATTAAAAAAAAAAATTATTATTTTGGATTTTAATTTTTAAATCACTAATGCAATATAATCCCGGCTGTGAACAAAAATTGGATATTATAAGTACGTTATATTAAATTAACCAGGTGGTAGATTTTAATAATAATAAATTTAATCACCCTGCTGTGATTAACATTCGAGTTTCATGTACCGATAAAATACTATGTCACGGTTTTAAAGTAGATATGTGTCCATATATCTTTTAGTTAGTGCGTGAAACCACTTCCGATTTATACTGCAGGATATATACGTTGCAACTTGCGACTCTATGGCTTACCGCATGATATAAATTTATGTTAAACCCCAAAATCATCCCCCACAAATGAATAAAATTTTTTTTTTGCTGTCAATGTACCTAATCACAGGTATTATATCCCAAAAAAAATGATAAAATAATTATCGGTAAAACTCCGAAATAAATATTAAAAATTTATAATTGCTCTATCGTTAAATAAATATTTACAATAGATATAAAAGTTAAATTTTCTTTGATAAACAGTCGCGTTAAATATGTTGAGTGATAAAGTAAAATATCTTTAATTATTATTTGGGTAATAAATCAGGTAGACGACAATCAAATTGAGCGTAATGGGATTTAGATTACGATAAAGTGGGATAAAATAACACTCGATAGAAAGTAATGTATTTTATGATGGATTACTGTAATAATATAAAGTCAAACTTATGTTTGAATGTGTAATATAAGTACACTATCTGTAAAGGCATAAACAATCAGCGTCGCAATGATGCTTTAAATTTAATATTGCTCAAATTTAGTCATTTGGAGGGGGGAGTTATGATATTGAGCATTACGGGCTGGTCTTCCATAACTTGGTCTTACTACACCTGAGTATTTTCAGTTTTTCCGCAACCGTTTAATCGGCCGTATCAAATTTCTTATTTTATTTAAACTCGGATCTTTATCATTTTTTATTCGTTATTAATCTGAGTACTTAAGTGGAAAGTGATTTAGATATATAATTTTTTTTATTTTTTAGTTACTTTTTTTTTACTTACTTTAATATTAGTGGTGATATGAAGTTTTGAGATTATTTTATAAAATTGTACATTAGTTTTTATTTGGCTAAAAATAATGTGGTTTAAACGAGTACTCATTGTTGCTGTATTTATTTTCCAAGGTATAGTTTTTTTTAATTTAATTTTTTCTATATTTTAGCCCAAAAAAATTTTTTTTTGTCTCACTTAATATAAAAAAAAAAATTTTTATTATAATTGAAATAAGAAAAAATATTCTTTCACTGTGCAGTAATTCGAATCATTTGTAATAATAATTAACGGTTGTATACATAATTTTATTTTTGGAAGAAATTATATTTGTGTGCACGATTATATAAAGCAGCCGGTTTCATAATCATCAAGTCGATTGGAACGAAACAGATTTTTTTTTTTCGATACTTTACTTAAAATAATTAATTTAAGCTACAATTATTTTAAAACAAAAATTTAATTTCAAAATCATTGAGAAATTAAAAATCATTTCTTATCTATTTAATTTTGTTAGGTAATTTTCCTACGGTGGTTTTTTTTACTGATACGTTATCATCTACAGTCATAATTATGACGCATCAGTAAAAGATAATTATGAAATAAAAATTCAAATTTTGAATGTTGAGCAACCTTCTCTTTCTGGTAAAACAAAACCCTGGGTAATAAATGATAAATGACCTTTTAAATTGTTTCTAAAGATGCAGCTGGGTGGTCTCAGTAAATTGAAAACACAAATGTACCGATACTTTGCTAAAAAAAAAAAAAGAAACTTCCGGTCGTTAAAACAAAATGAGCCATTACATTAAAATTTTTGAAAAATATTAATAATAACTATTATTCATAGAAATAAATTTTTTGAGTATAAAATTAAATGATTGCAGTAACATCTTCAGAAGATGCTACACCGACACCTCCTGGAGTTATTCCTCTAGAAAAAGAGTTCAGTGTATCGGATCTAAGCTCTTCAGCAAGCTCTTTAGCAAGCGCTTCATCATCAGCGACCGCAACTGCTGTGTCTAACAGTACTGATGGTAATTCAACTACAACACCAGCATCCAATTTGACGGATACTACTGGAGGATTAATGAATGGAACAACTACAGCAGATAATTCAACAGTGCCAGCAAATGGAACCATTGATAACTCGACAGTATCATCAATAGATCCGGCTGATAGCAGTACAACATTATCCGATGCACCAGATACAAATGTAACTTCTTTGGATGCGACTAGTGACAACACAACATCACCCGCGAATCCGACTTGTAACAAGACAGCATTACCCGCGAACGCAACTAATGACAATTCAACGTTAACAGGTGTAGGGTCAGACGGAAACTCAACTGCTCTAAATTCTACAGAATTAGCTCTTCCTGGAGGAAACTCCACAGCAGACAATTCGACTCTTGCTAGCAATTGTACAGATGGAACAACTCCTGGTGGTAATTCTACTGAAGATGCAACGACACTTGCTACCAATTTAGCAGAAGGAATAACAAGTCCTGATGGTAATTCGACAGAAAATGTAGACGGTACAAGTCCTAACTTGCCTGATAATTCTACTTTAGATGGTACAACCCTCGATAAAAATTCAACAGCAGACAATTCAACTCTTGTTGGCAATTCGACTGGTGGAACAACTCCTAGTGATAATTCTACAGATGCAACAACGATGCCTGGTGGTAATTCAACGGAATTAACTCCAAGTCTTAATTCTACAGATGGTACAATGCAACCTGGTCTAAATTCGACAAATGGAACAACTCCTTGTGATAATTCTACAGATGCAACAACGATGCCTGGTGGTAATTCAACGGAATTAACTCCAAGTCTTAATTCTACAGATGGTACAATGCAACCTGGTCTAAATTCGACAAATGGAACAACTCCTAGTGATAATTCTACAGATGCAACAACTCCAATTCTTAATTCTACAGTTACAGAACCTCCAGTTCTCAATTCAACAGACACAGCAGTACCTCCAACTCTTAATTCAACCGCAGAATCAACCGCAAATTCAACTGCAGAATCAACCGCAAATTCAACTGCAGATTCAACCGGAGGGTCAACTGCAGGCTCAACCGCAGAGACAACCGCACATTCAACCGCAGAGTCAACTGCAGATTCAACCGGAGGGTCAACTGCAGGTTCAACCGCAGAGACAACCGCAGAGACAACCGCAGAGTCAACTGCAGATTCAACCGGAGAGTCAACTGCAGATTCATCCGCAAAGTCAAGCGCACATTCAGCTGCTGAGGCAACTTCCGATTCTAAGTCCGATGGAATATCTACTCGAAGTGTTGATTCCATCTTAGAAAATACAACTGCAGAAGAAGAAAACCTTGCTGATAACTCAACAAGCACAACTCTTTCTACTAATTCAACAGAAGAACAGAAAACTCCCCAAGATAATTCAACTGCTACTCCAACACCCGAAAGTATGACTCCTGGTTTGAATTCAACAATTGATCCTACAGCTATCACTGCTGGCGAAATAGTAGAACCTACATCTTCTGAGGACAAATTGAAAGCAAATCTAACTGCTGTTAGTGATTCTACAGAAAAAGCAGCTTCTAATTCTACGACAGAAGGTACAACTGCTGATGGCAAACCCACAGAAAAGCCTTCTGAATCCAAAGTAGACGGTACAACTGACAGTACTGGTTCTACAAAAGAAGACTCAACTTCTGAGTCACTTTTAGACACCGCAACTCCAGCTGATAATTCAACTTCCAGCGCTGATTCTGAAAAAGGACCGACTACTCTTCTTCCTGAGATAACTTCTGAATCTCCAATAGAAAATACAATTGAAGACACTAATTCTACAGACGAAGCCACTACTGCTAGTAATGATTTAGCTTCCAATGCCACGGCGGAAAGTACTGCTAATTCAACAGCCGCTTCATCAGCAAAAACTACAGATAAATCAGCAGAAGATACAACTTCTGAACCAACAGCGAACGTAACTGCTCCTAGTTTAACCGAAGCAAAAACTAGCCCTTCAGCTGATTCTGGAATTGATGAAGTTACTCTGACGGCTGACTCAATAGTAGAACATAAAACTTCAAAATCCCATGCAACAGTAATACCTACAACTCCTTCTGATCATTCTACAGCAGAAGATACCGATTCTACTGCCATTGAAAAAAAAACTAAAGAATCAATATACAAAGCAATAAATGACAGATTGTTAAACCATATGTCCGCATTTAAATTTGATTTCTATCAAACAGCCGCCGATAAACAAGCTGCTTTGAGTCTCTCTAAAAATGAAACCGATTCTCTCGCTGATAACTCCACAGCATCAAATTCTACTGACACTAACAACTCAACACTTTCTAATAATTCTACTGCTGAAAGCTCAACTTTGGAAGCTGACAGTTCAACCGCAGGACCAGATCTCAGTTCAGCTACAGCTGTTTCTAACACAACTGCCGACTCAAATTCAACTGCGACCTCAGAAGGCTCTGATTCTTCAGCTACGACAGGAGCTTTAAGTTCAACTGCTTCACCAGATGAAAGTTCTACTGGAGCTAGCTCGGGAGATTTGACTGGATCAACCAAATCAGCTTCTGATGCCGATAATTCAACAGCTTCTAATTCTAACGCTGATGCAACTTCTGCCGCGGCCGCAACCGCAAGCAGTAACTCCTCTTCCAATACAACCCAAGATGAATCGACCTCTTTTGAAAAGTCAACGGATCTTGCAACTGAAATGGAAGCTCATCCAACAACTTTGGCTGCTAATTCATCGCCCCAGAGCTCTGATCATTCACTCCAGTATAAATATGTCGTCGTTGATCCAAAAACTAAAATACCTTGCGTGCTTATGAGTGCTGTAATGAATTTGGATGTTCATTATGAAATGGCTAATCATACCGTATGTTTTTGAATACATTTTTTGTTAGATTTAAAAAAAATGAAATCATTTTTTTGATCTAAATTTTTTTCTAGATGGCTAATGGAAGTATGACTATTCCACCGACAGCACAAGTTGAAGGTACTTGTAGTTACACCGATGCAATGATGATATTGAAGTGGAAAAACGAAAAACTTTCGAAATCTAAACGAGATGTGGATAGCGATGAAACTGGCATGAACTCTGTTGTTTTTAATTTCGTCAGCAAAGACAGCAAAGCTTATCTCGACAATATTGAAGCAAATATTTACCTTGATAACGCGACTTTCCCTTATGCGCTGAGTAAGCATGTTTCAAAATCATTAATATCTTTTTTTTAATTTTAATTGCTAATGTAAATTTCAATTTGATCAATCTTACAGAGGCGACCTTGAAGGAAAAATCAATCGAACGTTTAAGTCTTTTTGAAGCGAACATTTCAACAGAATACTTAATTTGTGATGAACGTACGGATGTCCATACTCCTAACATTACTCTGTCAATGAAAAATGTTGCGCTGATAGCATTTAATACCAAAGAAGACTTAGCTCTGAGAAAAGGTATTTTTTTTTAACAAATTTTGAATCTATAAAAAATTTATCATTGATAATAAGTTTATTTTTAACTTATAATAATTTTATTGTAGCTCACGTTTGTGGAAATGAAGTTACTGTAAACGTAGGAGCTATCATTGGAGGATTGACAGCGGCTATTGTGATAATTTGCGTTATTTTATACTTTATATCGAAGAAAAGTAAAAGAACTAGCGCAAATCTGCCATGATTAACGTTAACTATTATTTAGTTTATAAATTGTTTTGTTGATATATGTTATAGCACAAATGATTTATTGAATGTTATATAAATTTAGATTATTATTATATATTTTTAATCGTACTAGGCAATAAGGTATGAGAGTAATTTAAAGATTAATTCATCATCATCGCCATATTGAATAAACCAAAGAAAATTATATAGTGGCAATATTTGCTTTATGGTATGACAGTATTTGTAAAAAAAAAAAAAAAAAAAAAAAAAAATTACTACCACGTATACTAATTTTCTTTGATACTTATATGTTAACTTTGTTGATAGTTATTTTAATTAATTGATAATCAATTATATTGTATATTTTATGTAATAAAATTATAGTTTTGGATTCAACAATTTTAAAAATTGATGTCTATTTATTTAGATTTTATCTACTTAAAATAAAATTTGAAATTAATTTATGAAAATTTTTTCAAAAAAATTGCAGATACGGCGTGGGAAAAAAAGACAGTATGAATTTTCATTTCATTACAAAGCAACTAATTTCATCTATTATCGTTGTACCTAAATACTCGTCACGGGTACGCCCACCCCAATTACCCTATTAAAGAGTAAACTTTGTATTTATCGCGTCATCTGGCGGATCACCGTGCGAAAGTTTTTGATACATCCCCAATAAATTGGAATTCCCGTGATAGTTTTTTTTTTTTCTACAAAACCGTTACAGATATCGATTTTCAGATATGTTTTTATAAAGTTAAGCGTCATTTTTGTTTTAAATATTTAACTCATCAAAACAAACAAGGATAGACTGCTGTGACTATGATTTGCAAAATCCTAATCGGTAAACAGATCTCTATCATGACAATGCATTAACAAATTCAAGTACAATTGAGAACGGACACACCCCTCGTTTAGCACCTGGATATCATACTTTATAACTTATAACATATGCCACGGATTCACCGAGTAATTAAAAAATATAACATTTGAAGACGTCCACAGAGCAATTGTAAATTGTAAAACTGTCCTGATAAACATTCCTTTTAGTCGTTTGTTTCCGGCTTTCGTCTGTTCTATCGTATCGAGTTCCAACGCTTAATTTATTGTGGGAACATATTTACAGGGGGTCCATCAAAAAATGAACCTTACGTGCATCAGCTTAAATTTCTCACAATAATTAGTAATAAATTTCACTAATAATTGATCAATTGGTATTCTATTTCCATTTACATTAATTTTATAGCGGCAATAATTCAAAAAGGACATGTAATAATTTGAGCATTCATATTCACAAGTTATTTACTGCTTGTTTTTCGGCCATGAAATCGGTTGGAAAACTTTTCAAAGTCGGCTCTCCGAAATGAAAGGGCCCTCCTGCGAATAATTTTCACCGGAATCGTCTACCTCTTCATATTTAGCATCACAATAGATTTTTCTGCGTCACCAGAATTCCATTACAATATATTAACATTAATTAAATAAAAATGTTAAACAAATCTTAAGCTTCTTCAAAAATCTGGCTTCAGTATAAATTAAACGGTAAATATTAACGTCTATAAATTAAAAAAAAAAAAAACACCATCTGTTCAGTAAAAAAGCACAATGTGGAAAATAGAAAATTTATCGTTTTAATTACGACAATAAAATATTTTTTATCCAAATAAATGAATTGTCTTTATCTAAAAAGTTGATCAATTTATTTTATTATTTAGTATTATTCCATATGTCGTAAAACGTGTTGTCATTTTTAACAAAACCGGATGGGTAAATACCAGACTGTCAACAACACGCAATTGAATATTTCAAATAACTGCATGCATTACTGCATTGAGATTGTTATTCATTAATCATTACTCATTAATTGGATACGTAATTGCGTTTTTTGTTTATTTTAAAAATTGTTTTATGTATTACAAAAGACGTACTTACGACTGGCAAACATTCCGGTTAGTTATTGTTGGCAATCCGCAGTTGAGATTGCAATTATATCATAGCTATTATGTACTTTAATACCGGAAAGATTATTACCTGAGTTTGATATCGCAGGTGCCGAAAAATAGTGTAAGTAAAGTGTAAATTTGCTCGCTAAACATTTTTGAAATGCCAGGTGCAGCCGTCTCTTTACTTTGCCGTGCAGCAGCGAAAAAAGCCTTGCATAGAGATTTTTTATTGTTTTATTTTTTCTTTCGGCTCCTGACTAAACAACAGTATAAAAATTATCGCGTACAAACATTACCGCAGATATCAGTCCTTAGCCTTTGTTGTTGAGTTTTGGCTAAAACAAATTTGTTATTTGTTTTCTTTTACAGACTACAGAGTATAAAATGTTTTTATTATTATTATTATTATTCTGTATATTTATCAATAAAAACTTCAGAGAATTCTCCAAAACAATTTTATTACAATACAATATTTTGTATAGCAAAAAGGAATTATTCCAATGGAAATAAATTCTAAGCGGGATTTAAAACTGACATGACGATCTTCTATGACGTCAAAGGTGTTTTACTTCTAAGGAGTAAATTATAGATGGGGAGTTTTCCAACGAAAATAAAACCCAGACAAGATATACGGGCCAAAGTAAAAAGGTTTGGCCAGGCATTTAAATTTTAAAAGGATCTACTACTATTACGAGGTCCTAAGTGTTGGTTCAACACCTTGTCTACTGTAAGGTCTACGGGGAATTCAGGTACGTCAATTTTAGACTCGTGTCAAGTTAGTTTTTAAAAATTGTGCAAGTCAAGACTAATGTTAGCGGTTGGCTCTTCGGAGAAAAACTCATCTCACACCTGGTGTATTAATTCTACTGTCTACTGAAACAGTATCTTTGTTTTGAGCGGTTATTCAATTAAGATAAAACTGAGTCACTGCTTCTTGATATTGTTTTATCAACATTCAGTACAATGTAAAAAAATTTGCCGAGTAAGCAGAATTTAACATTAATAAAGAACTTCCGAATGATGAAATGAAATGAAATGAGTTTAGATGTTAAAAAAAAAATCAGTCTATTTCCGATTTTTAACATGTAAAACCGTGGAATTTCGCACCGTTACCGTTTGAGAGAAGCTAATTAAATAACCGACTTTGGAAATATTTAGAAGCATTTAGTATTAATTAGTAACGCGCCTACTGGTGTTCTTAGCTTGTAGTTCATAAATAATATTTCTAACGGACTCAAACATGACTTTTAAAATTAAAACTGATAAAAAGATACCGCCTGGTAAATTTTTGAAAAAAGTAGCCCAATATTAAATTAACGGTACTAACATAAAATCCGTCGGAAGTATGAAAATTTTCCCACGTGACATGTTGACTTTAAAACTAATACTAAGTCGGAAATAATTCCTGGCAATGCCTGACGTAGTCTACATACTATCCCCAAGGTGCTAGCTATCAGCTGTTCGTCTCACGCAGCCCACCAGCTACCAGCACCTCATGGACTTGCACCCAAAGGATCTGCTATAGAGATCCCTTTAAACTTTAAAGGCCACTGCTGAACACTAGGCAGCCCTGCACTATTATATTTTTATTTTACCAAAACAAATCTTTACAATTATTCATCTCCAGCAAAATGAATGAAAATAAATTTATATATGAAATTAATAAGCAAAATCATTTATGATACTGCTTGTAATTATGTAAAAAAATTATGCAGTCATAAATGGGAACGATAATGACTTTTACGGAGAAGAGATGAATAAAAATGATGATTAAGAAGAAGAAGAAGGGTGTATGAAATTATGCGAGTGTACAAAAGTTAAATGAAGCTAAAAGTGTACTAAAACAGAGATCATTGAATTTTTGCAGGGATCGTTTTGTGGATGTAAAGGAAGTGGCACGCGCACGATCCCGGTTAGCCACGCGACATGCTCCAACTTCCAAGAAACGATTCTCCAACCGTCTTGGCATCTTCTTAGTTGTTGTTTTCCTTCGACACATACATGAACGACCGGCGAGTAGAAAAGAGAAGAGAAGAGAATAAGAGTAGATCTTTATACTCATGCTCATACTAATACATAATACCAAAACAGCTACCGACAAACATCTCAAAAGGCTCGCACGCGTCCTACATTTCGCCATTTTTTATTTATTATTTTTTCCCTTTAGTTTGGTTTCTTCTATATCATCGTGCTCCTTCGACAATCAGACAATCGCTTGAAATGACCCGGCAACAAAGGCTTGAGCTTATGAGGAGTCGACAAAAAGGGCAACTAAGTATTAGTCTCCATCGAAATTAGCTAATTTGGTGCGTTAAAAATTTATCAGGTGTGATGTGCGGTGCAGGGATTGTGTTGATAAATGGCGAATTGAGATCCAGCGAGCTCTGTTGCCATGAGAAAAATTCTCAACGGTCATACGAGAACGAAATCGAAAATAAAAATAAAGTTAAGATGAGAAAAGAAGTGCACGTGCGTCTTACAGGGCCTCTCTTTTGCGTGCACGGACTCTGCTCGGTGAATGTGCTTTCTGTCTCAGTTGGTTGTTCCTTCATCACCTTTACTTCTCTTCTCCTCTCAAGAATGCCTGCCGACCGCGAGTGCTCTGGCGTCTTGGTCTTGGTCTTGGAAACACGAGGACGCAGATGGGATTGCGTTTAATGAAGTCTGGCCGGCTCGCACCTGCCACTTTCCAAGCTACTAGCACACCGAAAAGACCAACGGCCGTTACTAACTTGAATTCATCATCAACATCAGTTCCGAGTTCCCGCCAAATCGAGATTGGCGGGAAATTCACTGTGGAAGATGGAATTTTTATGCTCAGTCATCTTATTTTTACGCAAAAGGTCAAATTTAGAGTCTGAGGGATTTTAATTCGAGTTTGAGGAATTATATGAGCTTAGAAAGCAGAAAAAGCAGTTTTTTTGATCATATTTTTTTGAAGAAGCTTTTGGATTGATTAATATGAATATTATTGTACATTTATTAGTGACTTTAAACTTTATTAACAATTTTTTGTTAAATATTCTTATTTTAGATAATTAACAACATTAAAAATTAAAAAAAAAAATTC